AAAATTGTGGGACAAAAAAATTGTTGCCGGGTTCGAAGTTTAAACATAATTGGTCCGCACTCTCACATATCATCTAGCGCGCAATAGTACACTTGCAAAAGATGTGTAAAAAGTAATAAACTGACTTTTTAACAAAATGCCCGTTTCTCGAGAATGTTGTTCCACAGTCGGAATATAAACGCAACCGTCGTTTGCACTTTCTGCGTTATCGTCAATGTTGACATTTCCCATACCAGAAAAATTGAACATATACACACTTAACACTATAACCTTTCGCTCTCAGTATCAACACTGGCCTTTAAAAGTCCAAAGAACCATTTATATTATATACTTTGAGTTTGTGACCAATCAGTCTATTTTCTTTACAAAAAAGTCAGGTATTGCATTCATTTCATTTCACTTCACCGACAAAATTTTCCCATTATTTCAAAGTTATCTTTTTTTGGTAGTGAAATGATTGTCGGTGAAATGAACCGAACCGGTCCCTTGCAACGATTGTTAGAATTAACTCACGTGGAAAAAATTTTTCCGCCGCGGAATAAAACCTCTATATTTTGTGACATTATGTCTATTTATGGATTTCTGATTATCATGATCATTAATTAATAATACAGTTTGTACGGTAGATTCCGAACTAACTCTAAACATTTGTTGCCAACGCCCACTTTAAGTGATACTTATCACAAACGCTCTTGCCATATGGGTCCATACATTTTCGCGCGTTTCTAGAAAGTTTCATGGGAGGGGGATCTTTCAAAGTCAGTACTGATATTTCGGTTTCTATCACAAAAGACGTGCATTCCAGAAACATACATCTCGAGAACGGGCGGAAGGAATACGGTTAACGCGCGCAAAGCACAACCGAGCTATTAACAAGACATTTATTGAATATCCGCACATTACACGCGCAGCAAAATGCTTACGGCCCTTATCAAAATTAGTTTTAGATATTTTATGTATATGCTGTAACACACACCCACAAATTCGCGAGTATCGGAATGAAAGTGTGTTCGTTATCAATGCTTTTAATTAAAAAGATAGGGGTTTTCCAGTAATAAATGGGCAAATATGGGTTCATTGGAGTCTGACTATTTGGCGGGCATGTATTGACCCCCCTTTTGCGCATACCCGGTTAATCGTTGGGCGTATAATGCAGATTGATCATATAGTCGAACGTGAGACAAATATCAAGAGACCCTCTCCCTTCACACTATGAATACAAGGGCAAGTTGGTACTAAACCCTGTTTTGGTTTCTCAAAACTATTGTCAGGTGATAATCGAAGATCTCATCTCATCTTTCAGAGTGCGGGCGCATAGAGATAAAAGTGCGACTAGTAAACCGGTCAAAAAGATGAATATGTAGACGAGCCATTATCAATATATCGACAATGGCGACAGTTTTCGAAATGAAAGTAGGTGAACCAAGACCAAAAACTTCATGGGTCTGGCCTTATTTTGATGTTAAAACTTTACCCGATGGTGAACCCCTAGCATGTTGCAAATCATGTGGGAAAACGTTCAAACATGGTGGGAGCACATCGAATCTTATCAACCATCTCGCAAAAACGCACAAACTATTTCCACCAAAAATGAAACGGGCAAGCGGAGACGACGCCGCCAAAAACAGGAAGGGAAGCATCAACGAACAAGCAAGTGGATTTGGTGCAGGCAGCTTTGAACAGAACATCGAAACTGTTACGGGAGGACAGCCATCAGTGGGACAAGAGTTGGTGGGCCATCCGTTGGGTTTCTTGATAGGCAAATGGCAAGGACGAGGGAAGGGAACGTATCCGGGAATGCAGGAATTTGAGTATATCGAAGATATCGAAATCTATCCCGATGAAGCTGGAAGAGGGTGGCTGTACTATAGGTAATAATATCAATATATGCCTTCGATCAAGGGGGAAAAACAACCGAGGGCAGGGGACCGAGCATGCGAGAACACGTTGTTTTGAGCGTTACGCGTCGATTGCTATTTTTAACATATGATTCTAACCAACCGCATGTATCAAGACAAAAGACGTGGAACCCAGCCCGGAATAATGCCAACTTTCACAGTGAGATGGGTTATTTCCGCTGCCCCGGTATTAATCGAGTTGAATTGATTCTTGCGCAGCCGACTGGTATGTTGTTTTTGTTCTTGTTCTTGTTGTTGTTGTTGTTGTTCTTGTTGTTGTTGTTGTTGTTGTTGTTGTTGTTGTTGTTGTTGCTGCTGCCGTAGCTCTTGTTGCTGCCGTAGCTCTTGTTGTTGCGGTGCTCTTGTTGTTGCGGTGCTCTTGTTTAAGCCGTTGTCAAACTTTCGTGTGACTAAACAATACATAAACATGCATATTTAAAATATATTGATATGCATTCTCGCAATGTTGTGCTTTTGGTTAGGCGTCGCTACCGTTGAAGAAGGACAAATTGAAGGCACATCTTTATCCTTACATTGTTCTAATATCGCACGATCTGCTTCAGCCAAGGTAAAGATTAAGTAAGGGCTGGTTCGTGTATCGGACTTTTTGTTTACGTTTGTTAACTGGTATCATCTATTTTTTCAGCCTCCTCACGTACAAGAATACAAAAGGTAATGGGTCAAGTTCACGTTTATTAAATAGATACGCTACACTACACTACACTTACACTTATATGATGCATTGCATTTCCCGTTATAGACGATGGCAATATGATCCTCGGGCCAATACTTTGACATACGAGTTCTTTATGGCAACGTCACAAACACCAATGGAACCCCATCTATTTGCTACTCTGCATAAAGTATAGAACATTGTCACTATTGTAATTTAGTTTAGAGGAATAGAAAGAACACGCATTGAGCATTTACAATGCGAATATGTCGTTAATTTATATGTAATTTGAAATTACGGTTTGTTAATGTAAGTTATTATGATTGTAAGCTTGCGTCAAAAAAGAAAAAAGACAGGGAAAGAAGACCCATTTATTGTGTCTGCAAAATTGACGAAATAATAAATTGACATGATTATCACGAAATCTAATCGGCGGAAATATAAATCGTTATGACCTCAATAATAATCCTGAGTATGCAATCTCATCTATTTGGCGATTTTCGCCGTGCAGATGTGTGACATTACATAAAAGGGGTTTGTTATGCGTAAATAGTCACTGAAAAGCTTACGCGAAACCTTTACTGGCTTATTGTGCCGATTTTTGTATATTCGGACGTCAATTAGGAAAACTTAAAAAGTTGAATCTTCAGAGTCAATGCAGGTAGGTACACTTTACTCAATGTATTTTCGTATTTTTTTTGTAGTTTATGATTACATTACTTAATATGAATAATTTAATCGACTTGATTAGTCTATAAACTCTTGCTTTATACTGCTTTAGGAATATTGCCCAAAGACCAATCGGGAACTTGCCCTTCAAATTTCTCTCTCGTAAGCTCAGCTGTCGTAGACTTTAATGACCCTATCAACGATCCTGCAAATATACAAGGCATGTTAATAAAGAGGCAGACTTACATACAATGGAATGTAAATACTATAGTCCTAGCTCACCTCCAACCCATGCACGGCAATTCGCAACAAATACTTTGCCACTTCCAGACTCCTCGAGGAACCCAATATGGTCAGCAAGTCCAGATATACTCGCAAACCGTTTATCAACACGTAGAGCACGGAGCATTTCTTGACTAAGACGGACTTGGAAGTTGGGAAGCAATGTAGTACCGCCAATTAAGAGGATAGAAGATGCCAGGGAACGACGAAGATGAATCGGTGTCTAGCATAATGTAATAGGAATAAGATCTTAATCAGCAATGAAGGATGACACGTGCAATGAAAGTAACAAGAAAAATGCGCAATATGCATTTCTAGTCATTGCACAAAAAACACCAAAAACTCGTCATTTCTTCTCATACCTTCAAAAGGCTCTCCAATAAACATCCAACAACACTCGACTCGTCCTCATCGCCTTCAAACAATACTTCTGCCGCGCGTCCACGAATCCACCCTGGCACCACAAGTGTACCGATCTGGTTCTTTCCTCCTACCGTCCCTAACGCAATCGGATAATACAGATCCTCAACTTTACTGTCGGTCGCATATTTTTTTTCTATATCCTCCTCTGGGGTCTTTTCTGCCACGCCTATGACTCCATTAGCAGGAAAATGCATGGGAGATACGAAAAGAAAGCGTGTTTTTATATCTTCGATTATGGTATGCGTCAGATATTTCGGAATGACGGGGACTTTTTTTGTTTCTGGAGGAATTATCATCTCCGCAGACATGCAGAGTAGATTTTTGAGTCGTTTTGTGAGAGCGCGGCCGGCAAGCGGAGTCGTTCGGATAAATGAGGTTAAAGGGCGGGCAGAGAAGGTCTTTTAAATTTCGTTGGTAAGGGATAGAACAAGACGGGTTCACAAGTGAATATGATTGGTGAGAATCAAAGCCATCAACAATACTAGTCATATGCCATCAATTTGCGTTTCAAAACTATTCGACTGTTTACCGGCATGACGGTCGTCTCCAAATGTCCACAATCGACTACCAATCCAGTAGTACAACCTGTCGTAAGCAATGCTAACATGTGCGATGGAGCAAAGGATATCGATGGAACCTATGTTGGTAAGACGGAACGTCAACATACGCATTTGATCATCGTAACCATTAACAACGACATCACGACCGCTCGCAACTCACTTGTAAATTTTCAAATAAAACTTTGGCAATCAATTCTTTTAATTTCAATGGCATCATCGGCGGTTCGCACAGCACCACTTTTCGGTGTTTGGAATCAGTCAATAAATATCTAAAACAAAGAAATCAGCTCGGTGGTCAGGAAAAGAAAGAAAAAAGAAATAAATGATTGCTTGCAGCAAGTTCAAGTAAAGCAAAAAGTCGACTCACCTGAAATAGACTTCTCGTAAGAAATGGGACAACCTATCATACAAAGCATCCATATCCTCTTCCTTGCACCCGATTTGCAAATCAAATAGTTCGGCAAACTAACATTCAAATATAAAAGTCATATAAATTATATAGATTATGGCACTATTCATAGATCCAATATAACTAGCAATTCTAACAATCTTAATTCACAAGACTCGCGTAATCGTATACGCTCTCAAAATCCACAAGACTCGTTTCAGTTTCTTTTCACCTCGCCTCTTTTTTTTTTCCCTACTAACCTCATTTATCCGAACGACTCCGCTTGCCGGCCGCGCTCTCACAAAACGACTCAAAAATCTACTCTGCATGT